AGTAGCTGGAACTACAGGTGCGCGCTACCACGCCCGGCTAATTTTTGATTTATTGTAGAGTTGAAGTCTCGCCAAGTTGCCCAGGCGGGTCTCAAACCCGCGGGCTCAGGAAATCCACTCACCTCAGTCTCCCAAATCGCAGGATTACAGGCTGAGCCACCAAGCCCGGCTTATCTGTGACCTTTATATGAAAAATTAGTTTTTCTGAAATTAAAACTCTTGGCTTATACTTTCTTTCATTGGTTATCTTAAAGACATTATTTTATTTTCTTCTGACATAAATGTTGGAATAGTCTAATAATGATCTACCTTTCTCTTCCTTATAAAAGACATAAAGATTTTTGTTGCTTATTTTTATATGAAATTAATTTTCCCAGTCCTCTGAAGGATGAAATTTAGGATGGCTTTTCTCACTTCACAGAGCTACCTCTTCTTTTTTTATAAATAGTTCAAAAATAAAAAAGGCAGTTTTATTTCTGGGATTTCCTGACTTGGTTCCTCACCCTCATGTTGGTCAGGATCTTCCCTTTCATTTCTGTTGACATTATCCTGCTCTATTTTGATCCCACTTTCAAATTTTTTCTCAGTTCAGGGTACTGTTTTAAAAGGGAACAGTTTTGAAAGTTCAGCTTCATTAGCCTTGGCAGTCTTTCTTATCACAGGGTCTGTGCACTTACTGGTTATCAGAGAAGGCAAAATCCTTCCCAGTTTCAGCTGCTGTTCTCTGACTGGTCAGTGATACTATCCAAGAAATATTATCCGGTTATATTATGGTCTCACATTTTCAGGTCCATCCGACACCTTCCTTGCTCCTCTGTTACCATCCATATAGATGAGACTATCATGCTGGTTTTGTGCCTACTGGTCTTTTGTCCTTACCTCTTTGTGTTTTGATTTTGATGAGGCTACCAGTCACTTAATTTACATGTAAATCTGACCCATGCATTTTAAGTTTTACTATCCACTTGATATATCTGCTTTTGTGTGTAGACTAAGAGGTTTTCAAAGGCTATGCTGTTGCCTCTGACTAGATTTGATTTTAATTTTAATAGACACTCTATTTGTTGATCTCCCTAAAAAGACCAGATAACCAATAACATAGGCATGCTTTCCAATTCATTCAAAATTCTGTTAGCAAGGAAGTTCAAATAGTTGATCTGTGTGCACGTGCTATTCAGGATTTATTGAAAACTGCAACCTCTTACACAAATCATTGAATTAGCACAGATTTAGTTCTATCATTCTGCACCATCTATAACTACACCTACATTATGCTACAATACCAAATATACCAATGCCTGACATACATCATGAAATTCTAAACACTCCAAGACATATATCATATGGGGTATTGGTGATAACTATTATCTAACAAGAATGTTCAAATAAATGTTTCATTTCTCTTGCTAGTAAGTTAAGTTTACTGAGTCTTCATCACTAAAGTAATTGTTAATTACCTCTGAATTGACAGTAAATATACAAAATGCTGTTGTTTTGTGTGTTTTTTTGGCAGTTTGGGAAATTATGCATCACTTCATGGACAAATATACTGCAAGCCTCACTTTAAACAACTTTTCAAATCTAAAGGAAATTATGATGAAGGCTTTGGACACAAACAGCATAAAGATCGATGGAATTGCAAAACCCAAAGTAGCTTAATGGACTCTATTCCCAATGAAGACCCAAATATGTGTAAAAACTTTGCAACTAACATCCTCACACCTGAGGATCTTAAGAAACATTTAGATGCTAGTAACGGTGAATGGCAAAGAGATAAATTGAGAAAATTTGGGGAAAGGGGAAAATTAAAAATCATTTGGCCTCCTTCCAAGGAGATGCCCAAGAAAAATTTTCCACTTGAGGAAGAGCTAAAAATGAGTAAACCTAAATGGCCACCTGAAATGACAACTCCTATGTCCCCTGAATTTAAAAGTGAATCACAGCTAGAGCATGTTAGAATTCTGGACAATAAAGGACAAGAACAAGATCATCTTCCTTTCCTGGAGTCCACTCATTTATGTCAGAAAGAGGATGTTATTGGAATCAAAGAAATAAAAATGTACGAGGCAAGGAAAGATGAAAAGAAGGAAGAAAATAAGAATGTGCAAGAAAAACTGAGTGAGGCTGAAGAAACAAAGAATAAGAGGAAAAGTGAAATGAATTTTAATGACATGGGTGTGCAGAGTGCTGAAAAGGAGAAAAATGGAAGCATGAATGAACCTGATGATGCAGAAGTTTTACAGGTTACTTACTCTGATGATGAGGTGGCACTAGAAAATCAAAAGGAGAATTTGAATAAGAATAATAATAACAATTATGCCACAGTCTCATATCTGAATAATAGCAGACAGAAAACATCTATTTTAGAATTTCCTGATCTATTACCTCTGTCGAGAGAGGCAAACAACACAGCAGGTAAACATCAAATTGAAAAGTTAGAAAATGCATCTAGAATCTCAGCATTACTTGGTATATTTGAATCTGAAAAGACTTATTCAAGGAATGTCCTAGCTATGGCTCTCAAGAAACAGACTGACAGAGTGGCTGCTGGCAGTCCTGTGCAGTCTGATCTAAAACCAGGCCTCAGTGGGGGCTTAGTGGTAAAGGGAGAGAGTTCAGTCATCTCTTCAGATACAAATCTCTTAAACAGTAAAGGAAACCATTCAAATAACAAAAATTTACACTTTTTCTTTTCTAACACTGTGAAAATCACAGCTTTTTCCAAGAAAAATGAAAACATTTTTGAGTGTGATTTCATAGATTCTGTAGATCAAATTAAAAATATGCCATGCTTGTGTTTAAGAGAATTTGGAAAGAACGTCAAACATTGGCATGGTGAAACAATAGGAGCAGCTCACAGTAGTGAAAATACAAGTTTTAATGCTCCGAACCATGAATGTGCAGCTAAGCCTTCATTTTCTAGAATGGAGGTTCAGTCTGAACAACTCACAGTGGAAGAGCAGATTAAAAGAAATAGGTGCTACAGTGACACTGAGTAAAAGAACTCTGACCATTTGCAGTCCACAGCCAGGCAATGAGATATATTGATGTCTCCTGAAATAAGACTTCAAGGATTTTGATCATCTTTTGTTGAACTTGTAAACATAACACTAAAAAAATCTCATACTATCACAGTGGGATATTTCTTGTACTACACTTTGTCATTTTTTCATAATTCATTTAAATTTATCTTTGTTTTGAATGGACTGAAGAGACGAAACAATATGGCTATGTTTTAGTGTCAGATGGCACTTAAGTATATTGCTCTGTTTCATTTATAACATCGTGGGTGGGTTCTATACTCCTGATACTTATCATAGTTCTTATACCTTCTCTATAATTTCTGCTGAAATAAAATTGAATCACCTGGGGTGCAAACCAAAATACGTCTGTAACTTTTTCCATATATAGTCATTCTAAGTATATATGTTTTTGTGATTTAGGAAGTATGTGTCTTGGGGCAAGTATTTACCACACACACACAAAAATAATCCTGGAAAAAATAAAATCCTAACCTGAAAGCACAGTATTATTAGGAACTATAAAATTTTCATTCTCTTCTTTACCCTATATTTTAAAATTATGAAGGTTTTTCTTGTTTTTAAATAATGACCTATAGTAAATCATCATGGAATGTGTCTAGAAACATTTAATGAAAAATGTCAATCCTTCTCCAGGATCATGTGAATTCCATACTCAGAAATTAACTTAAGTAGAAAGGTTTTAGAAGTTACTTGGAGAAATTATGAACATTGCATTTGTATTCCTTACTCTATGCAGTTGATAATTATAAAAATCATATTACTATAGTTTGTCATGTTTTCTTTTTATCATATATGATTTATATCAAGTTTTTCTGTTATGAAAATATATTCTTTCAAAATTTTGACTTCTAAATTTTCTACTGATTTTACCTTTCCTCAAAGAAATTTGGCGATAGATGCCTTATTCTCCGACATAAACACAAACTATTGTCATTCTATAAATATGAAACCAAAATTCAGTGCTGAAAATTCTTTATTTTTGAAAGGTTAGCAAATTCTTTCTTGCTAGTATGTTCTCAACTGATATCTAAAACCTGTACTATATTAGCCTTAACAAAAAATAACAAACTGGATTACTTGAATACAGAATTTTTTTTTTCTCCCACAGTTCTGGAAATACAAAGTCAAAGTGAGGACCAGGTTAGTTCCTCCTGAGACCGCTGTCTTTGACTTGTCGATGGCTCCCTTCTCCTTGTGGTTCACAAATAATCTTTTATTTGTGAACTCACAGCCCTGGTGTCTCTTCCTCTTCCTATAAAGACACCAGTCCTTTTGGATTAGGGACCACTCATATAATTTCATTGAACTTTAATTACCTCCATTAAGACCCTATTTCTAACATTAAGGGTTAAAACATATGGGTTTTGTAGGGACACAATTCAACTCATAACATACATTTTTACTTAATTAAATTGAATACTATGAAAATCTGTCAAGAAAATGGTAAGCTGTGGAGCTAAAACCACACTTTTTTATCTTATATTGAATAATTGCACTTTTCATTACCCTTCATGTATTCTTAATAACACAGTATTATTTCTACAATTATTTATGCTAAGATAACACAAAAGTTTCCATGGGAAAAAATTAAATTATGATCATTCATACTATACTATCTTAATGTATAGTTGCTTAATGTCAGAGATCCTTTTTAAAATGTGGATCTTGCTTTATAAAATTTCTCTCTTGGTACTCTGCCAATTTAACCTTGGTAGCACAGTACTCTATCCAATTATAATAAAATTTAAGATTAAAAGAAGTTAATATTCACATCAGAGAAAACAATGAAAATATTTATTGTTCTTCAGTTTACCTTTTATTTAATCAGCAATGTTTTTTTAAAATCTTCTTAATCAGAAAGAGCATTGCATCATAATTTCTGGCTGCATCACCTTTCTTGAATATGTAGGAGTTTTCAAAAATCCAAACATGATTAAGAAATCCAAATGCAATTTTATTTAGTAATGGATTCACTCTAATTATGACAAAATCTTTCAACTAAATTGCAAGCTTTATGAACAGAGTATACCTAAACACACAGATCAAAAATTTAGTAAATCTTCTTATTGTTGTAGGCAGTATATTATTTTTCTAGAGTTGCCATAACAGAGTACCAGATAACTGAGTAACTAAAACAACATTTATTTTCTCATGATTCTCATGATTCTGAAGGCTAGAAAAGTGAGATACCAACATGTCAACCAAGTTGGTTTCTTCCAAGATCTCTCTTCTAGGCTTGTAGTCTTCTTCAGTATGTGTCATGTATTGAAATGTCTTCTTTTAACGACTATACTTATACTGGATAAGGCTCACCCTAATGACCTCATTTTACCTTAATTACTTAAAAAAAAAACAAAACTCTGTCTCTATAAAGGTTCACATTATGAGGTACTGCGGGTTAGAATCTCAATATATGAATTTGGGGAAGGTACAATTCAGCCCATAACTGACAGTAACTACATTTAATCTTTAGGGTTTTTAATACATGGTATTAATACCATGAAACAACTTCCCAACAATTTTTACTTAGGATTTATATCACAGAACTATATTAATACATATATTTATGCTGTAAAATGAATATTTTATGAACAAAATTTCTCTTACAAAAAAAATGAAGATGGGTTTATGACAGACCAAATGCTATTCCAAGGGAGGCTATGTGATGGTAGATCTTGGAATATAAAGGGTTTTGTATTATTTATTCAAGACTGAGCCTTCCAATGAATCTTGTAAATATGTTCTATTCCCTAGAAAATTGTGCTGAATTGTCTTTTTTGCATCTTCCACACAATCAATCCTAGTGACAGATTTGGGACTCTGGGCAATACATTCTTTGAATTGGGACAATGATTTTCCCACATTACAATACAACTGAAGATTGCAAACTTATCATTCATTCCCTAATGTGCAACCATTTTATGCATCTGGAATATTTTCTCCCAAACTGGCAATTTTCCACAAATATCTCTAGAGTCATTTCTAAAGGCGCATTAAATTTTCAAGAAGCTGGACGACAGAAAAAGAATACTCTGTTTTGTTTTGATAGTTACTGACCACTGGTTAACATTCAATTGAGGAGTAGAAAATTTACCCCATTTCCAAGAAAATGAACTTATAGGAAGATAATCACAGATGTTGGAGTAAAAGAAAGGTCGATGCATTTTTTTTCTCTCAGAAATGTTACTGAAAACCAAGGACAATATCTAAACCTAATGTAAAAGTTTTGAAATCTGCAGGCTTTGACAATAATGTGAAATTTTATCTTAGAAAAATATTATTGAACAGAGATCAGAAATAGGCCACATATATAATACTCCCATACAAAATAAGAGTCATGAGACCATACTAGAAGCACTGAAGAGTACTAAGTCTCAATCTTCTAGACAGTAATCCTAATAGAAGACAGGGAATACTTTTCAGTAAATATAGTCTAACCTGTACATTGATGGGGTCCTTTGAAGGTCCATTTGCTGTAGATGTTAGATGTTTTTCCCCTAAAATATTATGAGAAATTTAAAAAATTTAGATGTTAGATGCAAATAATGCAAATCAAGTAGTAGAAGGAAAATAATAGGAGATGCCCACAATGTGGTCATTATCTTTTAATATAGTACCTTTTTAAACATAGAAAATTTAAGATAGACAATAAATTGGATGAAAAATGGATAGAAAGTCTGACAAATAAGCACTATGACATCACCCACTCAACAGTCATTTCACACACATGTAGGGAACCATTTATATGCATTGGCCGAATTATTAAGAAAAAATCAATAAATTATGATATCTTTCATGTAAAGTTCTCAAACTAGGAAAAAAGAATTCAAAAAATAAAATACTTATAGTTAATGCTGATAGATGTAGGACACAGAGAAAAATATATAACCAGAGAATTTTGTTAAGTTGGAGGACTGCAGAATAATAATAAACAGGTAGAAAAGTGTTCCAGGTTTGAATAAATAGTCTTTGTTTCGTCATAATTTACTCAGTTGTAATTATGTGATTGTGAGCTCCACAGTACACAGTCAAGATCCCCTTTTGAGAATGAAGGGTTTACTTCCACAGATGTTGGGAGTGTTGCCCCCAGAAGGCCATTAACTGCCAGCCTCCCTAACAGGACTGCTTTAGCTAAAAAGAACCGCCTCTTCAGAGTGGACTGTACTCATTTTTGATCAATGGAAGGACAACTCAGCACAACTGTAAAGCGTGACGTCTGCACAAAACTCCCTGCAGTATTGGCTGAGTTCTCCCTTGAACCTACATCTCAGCTCAACTCTTTCTGCCCAATCCAGCTTTCCCTTCATCTCCTTTAATCCCAAGAGCATCCCCTAATAGACTTTCTACACATTTCTACTTGGAATCTACTTCTTGAGAACACAGCCTGGACCAGCTGCTGTTAGGAGTGACCCGAGAAGGCAAACACAAATATTTTGGAGGTGAATTCTTTTCTGCCTGACAGACAATGGGCACAAGGTGGCAGTGCAATTGCTAAAATTCTCAGTGGTGGTACACTAGCATGACTGCACTGGGTGAAGGAAATACCTAGCTGGTGCCATGCACAAGTGTTTGAGACATGCAAGAGAAAATAGCATTTAAAAGGAAAATAGAAATGGACAGCCATTACTAAGCTCTATCATTCTGGAAAGAAAATTAACAAAAAGATGAGAGTAATTAATTAACAATTAAAATTAAAGGTAGCTGAGTTCCACTGAAGATTAAACTCCCTGCCAAGGTCAGGGACATTTTGGGGAAAAAATAGAATCTAGAAAATAGATGACTGTATTTTGGCTGGTATAACCAAAAATATTGAAACCACAGATTCCTCTGAACCACTCTGAACCTATCGAAGTGGCCTAGTCCTCCCTATATGATTATGATTATGATTATATTATTGTAAGGTTAACATCTACACTTTCACTCAAAGATGCTGCAGATGCCTCTCTCTGACTCAGCTAGGTAGCTCAGCTGGTCTTGGCTGTTCCCACTTAAGCATCAGCAAGTCTGCTGGGAACTGTGTTCTCTAGGCTGTCCTTGATGGGGGCACCTGAATAAAAACTCCACACTTGGTGATTTCATCCTCCTCCTCCTGTGATATGTAGGCTATTTGAGTATGCTCTTCTTATGGAAATGGAAGAAGTAAAGAAGACAGGAGACACTCTAGGTTCAGAACTAGCACATTGTTTTCAGCTGTCTTTTTCTTATGGTCAAAATAGCTCTTATATTCAAAGAATCAAAACGAGAGCCCTGAAAAGTGTGTGAATGCAAAGAATAGAAAATAATTGAGGCCATTAGTGCAACCCGGTACACTAATTACTCAAAAGTAAATGTTTTATTGCA